ATGTATATATGTATATATGTATATATGTATATATGTATATATGTATATGCCGCATGTATAGGTATGGATAGACGCAGCCATATGTAACATATATATATATATATGTGTATATATGTATATATGTATATGCCGCATGTATAGGTATGGATAGACGCAGCCATATGTAACATATATATATATATATGTGTATATATGTATATATGTATATGCCGCATGTATAGGTATGGATAGACGCAGCCATATGTAACATATATATATATATATGTGTATATATGTATATATGTATATGCCGCATGTATAGGTATGGATAGACGCAGCCACGCAGATCTTCTTCTCCTATGGTCTAGGCCTTGGATCCCTCATCGCTCTCGGAAGCTACAACAACTTCAACAACAACGTCTACAAGTACGTTTATATAGAAGTAATGTTACACACGAACACCCATGTAGATGAAAACAAAGTCAAATTATAGAATAAAGGTGTTTACAATTTTAAAAAACAAATAATTTATATATATATATATAGGGAGAGGTATACCCGATGAAGCACGGACAGGCGCTGGGTCTCGCTCCGAGCATTATTACACGTTACCCGCTTCCTCAGCGATAGAACGGTCTGCGGGCACGATATGTGTCGTATTAAATAACTAGGATTACGTTGTGAAGGAAGAGAAATGCTTCATCAATCATAACGCGGTCGTTTCATTGCCGTTACACCAACAGCTAACGCCGAGGTTCGCTCTATCGTGTGTGTTCACATCGCGGGTATACCCACCACCCCAGTGTCGTGGTATTACTCTGCGAGAGAAGATGCGAAAACGCGCATGCGTGTAGCAGAATCGTCTGCCACAAAGCTACAGCATTTTACAAAAATAGAAAAAAACCATCCCTTAGCTCGCAGCATTTAAGGAGACCGCGCGTCATTTCTTTCTAAGCGCCTCTGTATAGCCTTAGGATTACTCCGCCGTCCGGCATAACCTCGTGCCGCCGTCTGCGGCAGACGATATAGAGTTGTGCATGCGCGCACACGAGTTCCGCGTATAGCTTTACATTTCAGAGCGGATCCGGTGTGTGCGTGCGTGCATGCGTGCGTGCAGACGAGCGAGCGTGCAAGCGAGCGTGCGTGCGTGAGTTCATGCGAACGTGCGAACGTGCGAACGTGTGTGCGTACATGCGTGCGTGCGTGCGTGCGTGCGTGTGTGCGTGCATGCGTGTGTGCGTACATGCGTGCGTGCGTGCGTGCATGCGTGTGTGCGTACATGCGTGCGTGCGTGCATGCGTGTGTGCGTACATGCGTGCGTGCGTACATGCGTGCGTGCGTGCATGCGTGTGTGCGTACATGCGTGCGTGCGTGCGTGCGCCTCGTTTGTTCTCGATATATAAACGTCAGAATATTTTGTCGTCAGTGTCGCAGACTGGCGGCCCCTTGCCGCGGTCAAAACATATCGGAATTTTACTTTTTTTTCGACGCGCAGCTTCACAAAAAAAGTTATCGATGTAAATAAGCAGAGTGGGTCTTTAAGAAACCCGATAGAGCCATTACGTGATGTCGCGAATGTTATCTAGATGTCGTGAATGTTATCTAGATGTCGCGAATGTTATCTAGATGTCGCGAATGTTATCTAGATGTCGCGAACGCAAATATCCGCGGCCATTTATACCGTCATCTATACTGTAAGGGATGGGTGGAAAGCCATGGATTAGGAATGAAACTATATATTGCTAAGTATATCAAAATTATTAAAAGAGAGAGAGAGAAAGATGAAAAGAAAGAGCGATATATATATATTTAGATGAATGGATGGATGGGTGGATGGGCGGATGGATGGTTGGATGGATAGATGTGTGTTTGACCACAAAAAAACCACACGCGTGAGAAAGACAACACACGCGCGTACAAACACGCACACGGCACACGCACGCCACCCCAACACACACACAGCGTAAGGGCAGAAGAGAGCAAAAGTAAGCGAGCGAGAGAGCAAACGAAAGAAAGAGAGAGGGAGAACAAAAGAAAGAAAGAGAGAGAGCGAGAGAGAGAGAGAGAGCGGGGGGAATATTGTGAAAGACGATAGCAGTGGAAAAGAAAACGCTAAAAGGTTTTTGAAATCGGGAAAAATTAGTATGCAGCGTTAAATGTTTAATTATAACTTATACACGCGATTGAAAAATGCCACGGAACGAAGCTCTTCACGCTAGAGAAAATTAAAACAACTAAACAAATTCCTGCTTGTACTTGATGTTTCAGCAAACAGGCTTATTGTAGTTACAAGTGTCTACTCGTGGCTGGGTAAACATGAATGGTTGAATACAGTTTGGCACATCAGTCTTATCACATCAAATATTACACTACACATATCATATATACTCCTACTCACCTCATCATATTAATATATATTTAACACTTATCATGTATATTGTATAATACTATTCGTAGACACAAAATTAATTAGTCATTCCTTCGGCGTTGTCCTAAAAGATTAATGTGTTAAGAAAATTTTTGCATCAAACGGAGATTAGTTTGGTAATAACCTTAGATTGGTACAAGAATAAACACACAAAAAGACAACACCGCAATTTTTCAGATGATAACTTTATCTGTTATAAGTGTTTTTGAAGTGAAAGCGTGCAATATAAGTGGGATAATGCGAAATTCACTCCAGCTGGTATTCGGAGCAATGCATTATCCGCTAAACCACTGAGACGCCATCATAGGAATTGCCATATGAATTTATCACAGCTAATGTATGCACCTGACATTCAAGCGTCCTACAATTGTCAGTTTTTAAATGTTGACTTTACAGAGTAAGTAAACCTTCGTACTAAAAACGCCGACATTTTTTCGAAGGCGTTCAAAATCTCGGCTGGCTATAAGTCTTGTCATCCTTACGGATTTATATTGCTAGTATAATATTTGCACGTAACTCGGTTTTGCGGCTTGATTTTGCGTTTCTCGAAAATCGCAAAGTGCAGATGTGCAAATGTGATCAATTTCAGTCGATTTTACTAGTAATATTATCTAACGATATAATAGTTTTTCTATAATGTTTTAGATATTTTTTACAATAATAGGTGATACTTAGTGCATAACAAATTGCCGTGTGTGACGTTAACCCAGGGTGACCTTGCATGTATATCTTGCTGTGTGTGTGCGCGCGTGCGTGTGTGTGCGCGCGTGCGTGTGTGTGCGCGCGTGCGTGTGTGTGTAGATTGGTGTGCGTGCGCGCGCGTATATAACAGCTTGCTCTGTATAATGACGCAGATATATATATAACAGCTTGATATAAATGGCCGCTCCGGGCGCCATATTACGTCTTACGCTGGAAGTGAACATACATGATTCTCTAACATCGCCGCCCGATTCATAGTAATCGGCTATTAAAATACTGAACTTGATACGAGCACAATAAGACAGGAACCTTGTTACTAACATAAAAGATTTTTGTCCCGGTTATATTCATTTCATATAAAAAACACTTTGTACACGACCGTTCTAATCCATTGTTTGTCTCTCAAATTAGGCTAATATATATACGAACCGCTTAATACGATTATTTATTCTTTGGCCATCAGTTTCCTACTAACGGGGGTCGACTTAGTAAATGAATAAGTCATGAAGAGGAGTTTAGGACTTCTGTCAGTAATTGTATCTATTTTGTGAACAATTTAGGCTCTACTAAAGTTCTTAAATTACTACATATACACGAGACTTGACTGCTTCCCACATAAATAAGTACTCTAGCAGGCAAAATCAGCTGCCAGCACGCCCGGGCCAAAGCCTGCGATGCAAATTTTATAATTATCATAACAAAACTTTTGATGTGCAGGATTGATATCAGCCCTTCAATCCTGCACATCAAAAGTTTTAATTGATATATAAATATCTCAAAACGCATCCCATCACAGTTAACTCTTTTCAAACCCACCTTTATCCGTACAGAACGTGATACCAACCTCCGCGACACTCGTTGTATTAGCACACCGTTCAAACTCTGACAACCCCGTGAGCCCAACCTGGCTCATACCCGGTGTCGAAAACGTTGCGTATTGCCAATTTTATCACGAATAGAGTCTGGGCTTCAAGGCCTCGGGCGAAATTATAGTGCGGGATTATTACATGCGGCTGTCGGACGAAACCTCATTTCGGGACGCCATTGAATGATGAAAGCACAAATTTACTATATGCAAAACAAAACGATGGGCGCCCCTTGCGGATAGGTTTGTTGGAACACCTAAACTATTCGCTCATTTCCATTGGTTCCGCGTGCTGACCCTTTAACCAAACCGGAATCACCATACATGATACGTCTGTGGTGGTTGCCAACGACCAACCATATTACAATAGTCTCACGCCGACACAATACTGAGCAAAAGTTAATCTGAAATGGTTGGTTTTAAATCAGGGGGCATGAACGTAACTTTAATTACTGTGATTTTTAGTCATTGCTTCGGTGTGTGTGCTGTGTTGTGTGTGTGTGTGGTGAGTGTGTGTGCGTGTGTGTGTGTGTTGTTGTGGTGTTTGTGCTGTGTGTGTGCTCTGCTTTGTGTGTGTTTTGTGCGTGTATCAATATATGGCGTCTTTCTGTGCGTCCTATTCATGCAACCGGCGGAATTGTGTTGAATCATTCATATTTGATTATCTAAACGCATATGTATTTGTTTTTGATTTGATTCTATTCAATTCTGCGACCTGTATGAAGAGATGTAATCTCGAAAGCTCGCAATAAACTTTTAAACACCTCTATTCTATACCTTGAACTATTGTTTAAATATATATATATATATATATATATTATATATTAATATAGTTGTTGCGTTTTAGGGTAGGACGCTTCATAACGATATCAAGGGAGATGATGGCTTTACCCTGCCATCTGGTGGAAGAATCTGCTGGACGTTTACCATACGATCATCCGCGCTGTGCGGCTCGCTACCACATATCACTCGAATCTATCATCTATCTACTATCTATTCATTACTATCTATCATCTATCATCATCTATACATCTATCTATCTAGTGCTACTATCTATCTATCTATCTATCTATCGCTACTCTATCTATCTATCTATCTATCTATCTATCTACATCTCACATCTGTCTAATCTATAATCTATCTCTATCTATCTATCTACTATCTATCTATCTATCTTGATCCTCACATCCACTCACGCCTTTCACACTCGCGCGCCGCGCCCGACGCGCAACGCATAATATAATATAATAATAATTATAATCATA